CCGACACAACCCGGTGTCCGGTTGCCACAGCCTGGGCAGGCCGAACCGCCCCCCCGCCCCAGACAACGCAGAGACAAAATGCACGCCTGGGTTCTTCTTCTTGGGGGTTTGGGGGGTTTCCTTCAGCCTCAGAGCGGCTGGGGAGAGCGGGAGCTTTATTCTGGTCAGAGACCGGGGCCCAAAGCCCGGCGCCGGCCCAGCTCGCCCGCTGCCCACCGGCCTTTCACAGAATCACAGAATCCGAGGTTGGAAAAGGCCTCTGAGATCATCGAGTCCAACCATCCACCCAACACCCCCACGCCTGCTAAACCATGTCCTGAAGTGCCACATCCACACGGTTTTTGAACCCCTCCAGGGATGGGGACTCCACCACTGCCTGGACAGCCTGGTCCAACGCCTGACCACTTTTCCAGGAAAGAAATTTTTCCTAATATCCAATCTAAACCTCCCCTGACGCAGCTTGAGGCCATCACCTCTTGTCCTTCCCCTTTGGCGGGGAAGAGCCGGGTGTCTCGAGGGCCGACAGTATCGCCGTGCCTTGCTGGGCGCACACGCAGCCTGTAATTAACACTCGTACACATTGCGTCTCAATTAGTAGCAAGGACCCATTGCCAGACGTTCCAAGTTCGTGCCAGTAAAGCGTCGCCATTAAAAAAAAGAACAAAACCATTTGAGTGTGTTATAGAGGAAGAGGGAAATGTGCCCTGAGCACTTATGTTTTATTTCGCTTTGCATTTTATGGAATATTATTTATGGGCACGTGAAAGCTAACGAAGGAGCGCGGTCTGACGGCTGGAGATCGTCGTTGGCTCTGGGGAAGGCGGTGAGCAGCGGTCTGGGTTTTCAGGGGTCTGGGGGGGATTTCGGGACCGCTTTCTCTCAGTGCCTGGCAAACCAGTCCGGATACTTGGACCGCAGTGGCAGAGCTGCTTGCGGGTAGGGAGGAAGCATTCCAAAAATAGCTTTTTTCCCTCTCCAGTCCAAGTTCAGCCAGGATTTTTGTCCCATGCTCTGACCTGACGCTGTGATGCTGCCGGATTGCTAAAGCTACGGGCTCTGGTCAAGCTGCTCCTTGCAGAGCCGGTCTCCAGACCTCAGCTCACAGCACCCGACAGCAGTTTTGGTGCTGCTTTTGCAGGAGCGTGGCCGCGGGACAGTGCAGAGTGTCCCGTTGGCAGGCTGAGATGTGGAATCAGGTTGGTTTGGTCAGCTGCGAGCATTTTTCACAGCGTAGGGCTTTTCCAGCCAGCCCCAGCACGCTGGCCCTCCACGCAGCAGGCAAGAGGGACGGCTCAGCTGCATCCAGCCCCGGCTGCGTG